GGTCTAGTCATCACCCTACCAAGTGGCAAGACCAAAGTTTGAATTCTACAGATAATATTATTGAAAAAATAAACCTGTATTATGGTAATGATTATCTATTAATCAGTTGGATCTAGAATCTGTAATCTTGGTTGTATTATCTAGTATTGAAGCCTTGGCATAGAAACTAGAATAATCAAAACTCATTTGGGAAGACCCAAGTAAGGAGTAACTACAATCTTTGATAGTGCTACAGGAAAGACCCAAATTTGGAAGTTAGGACCAAGATTGAAGAACCAAATGACAACAAGATCCTTTAGTAGAGGATTTACCAATCCAACTACCAATTTAGAAAAGTTGAAAATCTGCAAGACTATTATGGAATATACCAACCCTGGATAGCCAGTGTGAAAAACTGGTGGTGGGGCTCTACCTACCAAAACCAGGGGTTATAAAAATTGGGTAGGAAACCAGTTAGATGAAAAATGCTAGGCATGTCTAAAGGACCAGCCTACTAAATTAGAAGAAAAAAGATATGTGCTAGAAAATTATATACCAAGATGAAACAAGAGCACCAGCACCTAAAGCCAAGCCAAGATCGAATCTTCCAGGTCACTAGTTGAAAGTAAGTGATAAACTAATAAAGAAATAATGAAAAAAAGAAAGGTCTAAATGCAGGTACTGGGATTGGGATATAAACTTTATAAAGGCAAAAGCAGTTAAATAGATAACAACCCAACTGCAAGTGAGAGTCTTGGCAACTACACAAAACCAGGTTGGCCCAAATAGGATAGAGAAAACTCTGGTAGGTTTATCTCGTGAATAGCCATACATTTGCTTAACAGAGGAATACAAGCTGATAATTAGTTATTACAAACTCAGGATAAGTTATGAAAGTCCTAAGGCAGGGTGTGCACTCTAGAAGAACGGGTCAGATGGTAGTTCCCGAATTAGTATAATATGCTATAAAAATAGTTAGGATCAGAAGGTTTAAATGGGTAACTCTTTAGTTGGGTTATAGATATAGCATCTAGTATAAAACCTGTGGGCAGACTACTTAAATAGGTATTTAAAAGGTATACATGTGGCTAGTTGTATTTTTATTATAACTATAATAGTAAATGATTACTAATAAAGAGTCTCCATGGCCAAAGAGGTCACTTTAATACCAAAAAAAAAAATTTGCAATAAATTATATATGTAGTTTATTTAAATTTTAAAAAATTATATATATATATTTCTATATTTATATAAAATTACATATTATTTATATTGCATTAAAAAATTTATTAATGCAAAGTATTAGTTACTTTAAACTACAACAAACAACTTGCAAATAATCAAGAGTTAAAAATTTCATAATTTGAATCATGATAATTTTGAATTATTTGAGTTATAAATTAACAAGTCCAGTTACTATTATATAGTAAATATATACACATTTTGTAAAGTATATTATGACTTCAACTCATTTATAAAGTCACTAAACTAGTTGCTAATTAAAAATTTACACAGCACATGATATGTAAATGATTTTAAGTTATATAAGGTATTTATATAAATATACTTTTTGTATAACTTCAAAAGTTTTGCTTCATTTAATCTATAGAGTTTGTTTTAAAATAGCAAATTCATTTTAAATAAAAAAAAGATAAGGATAATCGATATTGTAAAAACATAACAAATGTTCTAGAAATTTAAGTGATCAATATTATGTAGTGAATAGAAGAACATTGCATTTAGTTTAGGGAACATCCATAATTTACGTTAAATCAGTACAGTATTGTATAAAAATAGTGACCTTGAAAATAACTCCATATAGTATTATTTTTGTATTATCTTTAAGTTCCCTATAACAATGCTGGTTTAACGTAAATTATGGACGTCCCCTTACCTGTATATTAAGTGTCCTCCACTATGCTTTGGACTAGTAAAAAAAAATAAATAAAATAGATAGTACAAATATGCCACCTATTGCACTAATGTTTTAATATGATAATACTAAAATCAAAAGGTTCTCAGTGCAGCTACAGGCACATGACTTGTTGATTAATGAATTTAGCTAATAATAGTTATACCTAGCACAATTAATTGCTATTTTTAAGTGCTTATTCTATCTTTGTTTATATATCAACTGCACTGTATTTTTAATAAAAAATTACATAATAATATATAGTTATTTGGCAAGTGTTATTATAGTAAGCTTTTGAATAAAGAATAATATTTGGTACTATTAAGCTTGTATTAATAATATATTGTATATACAATACTTTTTAATTATTGTAAATTTATTGATTTATAATTAATAACTAGAAATTTGAATTTGAAAATTGATTGGTACAATTTGATTATTTTAAAGATTTTTTATTTTGTATTTATATTTGACTAAAATTAAACTATAGTTCAAATCACATGACTTTAATTTCGATTTTACAATTGTTTTATATGGAGAAAGGGGTAGGGGTATAGTAAAAAAATATTATGTAATATTTGTTATACCCCTAACAATATCAAAAAAGTAATGAAGTTTTGGATATATCTAAAAGTATTAAAAAAATAAATACAAGTATAAGTTTTATATTAATATTTATAGTAATTCTTTATTGTTTGCAAAAAACAAATCATGTAATTTGTACAATGATTTTGACCAATCAAGTCTTAGTACTTAAGAATCTAAAATTTTGGTTTAAGTAAACAAAATTGAATTAACTAAATATCAAGTATCTAATTTTGGTTATACAAACCAGAATTTGGTTTAAAATACCCAACTTTAGGTTTATTTAAACCGGAAGTTAGTTCAAGTTAACTTATTTGGGTTCTATAAACCAGAAACTAATCCGATTTGGGTTAACTTTAAGTGTTGTGACTTTATTGGTCAATATTGGTGTGCAAGTCACGTGATCGATCTTTTGCAACCAATAAATCTCAAGATAAATCGAAAGATTGCAAGTCACGTGAATTGAACTTGTAACTTGGTCTCATTTCATAGCTCAGAGACCGGATGGGCCCTTATTTATAATAATTTTGTTTTTTAGGACCGTTTTTGGAACCAAGACTGGATTGAAAGATATTAATGTACCAGTCTTATTAGGGACCGGGACGGACTGGACCGGACTAATCCATCCCTATCAAAAAAATTTTTGTCTGTCTGCACGCATGTTCAAATTTGTAATTTAGTATAACAAAAATATGCACATTCACGCATTTGAGAAATGAGATGAACACATAATGCTACTTTATTAACTACATTGATAGCTATAACAGCAATTCATATTGAATTTCTTCTACATTTATAATAATAAACAATAAATTATCTTTTTGCATATGTATATACTTGCTGATTATTGAGTTTTTCATATTTAGTTTTTATATATATTCTCCATTAATTAGCTCAAAACCGTGCTACTTTCATAATCTTTTTTTACTAAGATGAATTTGATACTTAAATGAATAAATCTTATATTACTAAACAAATATTCAATACTTGTTAAATTAACTACAATAGGAAGTAATCTTAGTTTATAATATAAACTCAGATGTTTTTTCTTCAATGTACTTTCAAAAATGTTATGACCGTTACGGTTAGTTAAATACCATATTAAATTTTATTTAAATATTTTAAATTTTAAAAAATAAATCAGTCTAAGTTACAGTACTGATGCAGACAAATTTGCTCGCTAAATTCTATAGTTTTAAGGAATAGTAATGCATGGATTTTAATGCTAATTTATACATGTATGAAATTGCATGTAAATTGTGAAGTTTGGATGCGATAAAATATGTCATGTAGAATTATAATACTTTAAATAAAATATAATAAACGCTAAAATGTGTAGAATGCAAAAATATGCAAAGTGAACAATTACAGTGAAGTGATAAGCACATCGATCTACAAATGCAAGTATATGTTGTTAAAAATGTCAATGAATGAAATAAGTGTATATATAGGGTTTTGTTAATCGCCTCGCTTCCATAAGCTAGTAGAACCCATTTCCTATAAACTGTTTCCATGAACCAGTGGTTCATTCCTGGCGTTTTTCAAATTCAGGATCGGGGGAGGCGGAACGTTTATCATCATCTCGTTTCCATAAACCGGTTGTCCACCCTTGGCGTTCTTCAAGCTCAGGTTCAGGGGAGGCATCACGCTTCCACAAACCGGTGGTCCACCCTTGACGTTCCTCAAGTTCAGGTTCTGGGGAGGCCGAACGCTTGTCATTGCGTTTCCATAAACCGGTGGTCCACCCTTGACGTTCTTCAAGTTCAGGTTTATTTTTTCAATAATATTATCTGTAGAATTCAAACTTTGGTCTTGCCACTTGGTAGGGTGATGACTAGACC